TAGTAATAAATTCAGGAAAAACACTTTCAACATCTTAAATACTATTATAGAACAAGTATAATTAGAATTATATGATTTATAGTGTTGTTACAAAGACAAGCTCACACTCATTGATGAGGTAGTATATTCAGTATTATATACACAATCTATGTAAGTATTATTCAGATTGATGAAGAAAATAAATGTGAGTATGTAAAGCTGGCTGGTGTGTTGTTTAGTGCATTCATTCGAACCACTAAGCAAACTTCACTACTCATTGCAGAATTGCCGGCTTTATCGGAAGCCATTGTCCTAGCTGATTTAGTCATCGAAGCGAGTCATGACATACGGCGAGTTTCCCGATTGTCTTATTTCATAAAATTTACTACATTCATCAATTTAACTCAATAAGGCATGTGTAATTATTCCTGCATCATTAGCTTATTTTGATCCCAGTACGTTTAAAGTCAAATCGTGTCATGTATATTACAGTAACGCTACTTTATCTAGTTTGAAATGAAGAAAGTGTATTTAGTTACGGAGCACCTCGCGTCTTGTACACTTACGCAAGTTTCTAAATGGATATTGAGAGGGGTAGTTGTATTAGTAGTTATATTAACGATATGATTGGTGCACATAATACTACATTATACAATTTTTTCAAATTATTATTTTACTAGAGCTAATAATATAAATTTAGCTAGAAGCATAAAACTAGAAAACGTATATAATGCAACCAAAGAGTAAGTGATCAGACAGTGTATACTAGCGGCATTGCCTACAGACCAATGACGTGCATGCATGTCAGAATATATTGCCAATAAAATACCGTGTGTGTGTTAACATTCGCATACAATAAACAACATTTAAATAATGCAATATAAAAAGTTTGCGAATACAACACAGAGAAGTTACGAGAGATAAAAATAACCATTATGCACATCACAAAAAAAAAACAGAATGTTCTTAATATGTGTTGCCCACCAATCGACATAGAACAGGGAGACGTGATATAGAATACCCTAGGGAATAGGGAGATACATGGAAATGAACTTAAGGACAGAGTAGGTACTCTTGGATTGTGGTTTGTAGACTAATCACATGACGGGTACTGTATTTCATAATGAATAATTCACAAACATTACCCACAGGTTTGAGAGTACAAAATAACACATAACAACACATAGCAACCACAGTGTCAATTGGATAATTATCTTCAATAATAATGGCATGCAAATACAAGTGCATTAAGTGCAATATTTTGTTAAAATGTGCATTAATTTGTCCAAAACTAATTGTAGTACTTGACTATTCTACCTGAGAATAACGATAACTCACAACCTTAAACATAGGCGTATGTTTACCAGTTTGGTTAGTGGTCATGTTATGATTTAAAAAATGTACGTTTGCATATCGGAATCGCATCTATAGGAATTACACGTCCCGAGGCAATTACATCGCATAATCAAATACAATAACACATTAACTTCCTATGCCTAACTAAAAAACATTTACATCCAACATTAAACACTTTGCATATTATATGTGTTGCAATGGAGAAAAGTTTATCTTTTCGAATATTCAGTTAAGATATATATTCAATACATTGTGTAGTTGTGCCGAGTTTCTACCAGCTTTATGAAATAATTAAAAAGCATTGCAACCTCCTTTGTGTGGGCACGCGTTCCCATGATCATCCTCAATAATGGTACGACCTTGGATTGATAATTTGCATTTTGAGTGTGAAACATCAGATACAAAGAATAAATAAGCACGGATTACTCTACCAGCGTACTCTAAAACGTCAATTTATATACATGTCGAAAGTAATTACTTATTACACTCCCAATGACATTGATGTTGTTCCAACTAGGTATCTATGCTTGGCAAGTTCGACAGGTCAAGTATATACAACATACTGGCAATATTAATTTGCATGCAATTAATTCAAATCGTTGTCGCCACCTAATATATGTAGTTTAGGAACACAAATACGGTTGTAATCGCACCACTATTGACGTCATGTTGTTGTGCAAATCGTGTGCGCGTCTCGTGAAAAGCGTACTCGTGTGTAAGTAACTAGACGTACGCGTATTTATCATAAAGTGTATACGTATTTAGCGAAGGCGTACGCGTGCGCGTGCGGGAAAAAACGTACATGTGTTTTGCAGACGTAAACACGTTTAGCAATTGTGTTTAACGTAATCCTTCCTTTCGTTCTTTTTATAATCAACGATGCTGTATTTTCGGGTTAGTTGTTTTTAAGATCGAACAGTATCAACAATATAAAATTCTAAGATTGAATACTGTTTTAACCAAATGAATTACATTACACATTTTCAATCACAATAACATTGTAAAATGTAAAATTATTACGTACGTGACGCATTGCTTTACGGGAAAACTGATGGAAAAGACGTTAAAAGGATGCAAGGAAATAGTATAGACTGCTTGTTATATTGTTATGACACTGACACTACTTAACGCCAGAGACCTCGTGCGTGTCGTGGTAAAAGTTTAAAAATAACTACAAATACCAAAACGGCGACTGTTTACACGTAACTTTCAAATCCACTTAGCGAAATATCAGATAGTCTTATCAATTACGTGGATAACAAGCGCAAGAATGATGACGAATTAAGCGGTACACAGTCTCGCACCACAAAGTGGCGTAGCGTAGTGGTCAAAATTACAATTATATTTCTCATGCAACCTATGAGACCACATACATGGCGAAAAGTCTGAAAGTCAATATTACATGTTTGTAAACGTGCTTGATGGATTACTGGGCCATTAAAAGTCACGCCACCAAACAGATTAATCTTCCACGAAGTATTTGTATAGCAATGTGTAAGAAACTGATACGCAGACCTGTCAAAATGAAATAAAAGGTCGCTGTGATTGCCCCATTCCCACGGCTAAAACAACTTAATAATATTGTGGGTTATTGATTGCGACAAATGCCCGTAGGGAAACGTTTCCAATCTGCCAAAATCGAGTAAATGTGTGGTATATCAGTAATCCGTGTGACCGGCAATGCATTAAATGTGTTATTTCATCATGTACTCTTAAGAGGTTAAATCGTTTCCATATTACATTGCTTAAAACTAAACAGACGACAAACTTTTCTGTTAATGTACCTAGTTATTAAAAAACGACCGTCATGACTGCTCATGAAGGCCAAGTCATTCATTCCATAAAATACGGTGCTATCCCATATACGCAGCTGCACGTTTGAATATCCGCAACCGGGATCACGGTTCGCCGTTCATTTACTGACTCTTGAAGAGTTCTCAATATTTCGTTGCAAATTAGACGCGCAGACTTGAGCTGATTGCAAAGTGAGAATATATCACTCAACCATGGCGGTGTGATAGATCTCACATCACTTTAGCGAGAAAGTCTAAATTGTTTTACCTACTCGGGTTTCGGATTTGATCATCTTCATTCAGGTTTATTGCAATGAACACAGCTATCACTGTACGTGTGTGTGGTATACGTCATAGTATAGTACTACAGTAAATCTAAACACATCATTGATCAAAAATGGTAAATGATACCATAGTAACATATTTACCAGTCACATAAAAAATACTAGAAATAGCAATAGCAGATGATTGATAACAGGGCATGATGAAAGTAAAGATGCCGCGCACATTACCAATGTATTCATATAGAGTCAGCGATGGGACTTGCAATATTTCAACAATAGAATATCCCTGGGGTACAATACATAGAATAATAAAAAGGTATTAGCGCATAAAATAGAATGAATGGTAAATTGACAGACTTGTTCAATGTTTAGGAGACGCTGGCGTATTGGTTGAAATTGATCTTTTAATTTGTTCGCATCTATTGTTCGAAACAATGCGCACAGACCAATCCTTCTCAAATAACACGAACATTTATTTTACTGACCTAATATAAATATTAGTTTGCATAATTAATTACACATATGAGTGTACAGACATGTATACACTTGTATATACTTACTGACTCGTCATTGGTATGCAATTTATTTAGTGTTGCTGTCTACAAAATAACTAATATATCGAAATAATTCAAACCCTTGCTGATTATGAAAATGTTCAATTATTTGAGTTTCAATTTAACAATTTTTCACACGCATTATTAAAACATGCTCAAATTAAGTCAGAAATTAATTTAAACGGTACTTTTTTGTTCATCGTAGACAAAAAGATTTTTTTCAATACTTAAATTCTGGGTTTGTGTGATGTAAATGATCCTAATTAAATTTAAATTCTGCATCTTAATTAAAGCTCCGAAAATAACACTCAAAACATTAGTATATCTAAGCTGATATTTTTCTGGATATGTGTGTGTTATTGCACGATGGTAACAATAGCATTTGCAGTTCGTTGACTCTGGCACAAGAGCTTTAGAGTTTGGCGATTTACTGCGAACCAGAGCACTATAATATAAACAATATAATCGTAAAAATAAATATAAGAGCTATGGGTTACCGGCTTTATTTGAAATAAGTAGGGGGCATTGCAATGGGAGTGGATGGTATTATAAAATGACGAAGTAAACATTTATTCGTGTGTTTGTAAGTCTCATGTGTATTAATGTACAAGGGTTATAATAATGCCTTGCTCATTCATTACATGATATCGCGGTGACTGTTTAGACAAATACGTCTAAACATGTAGGCATAAACGGATTCATTTTGATCGTGTTACATCGTTTTACGTGACGTCATGTTGAGGATTGCTCGTTAGTATGCTTAGTCGCAATAACTATCTAGCCATTCATTATCACTGTGTATTATTTACAGCAAAAGTCCATTTCTTTCACAGTTTACAAGAACATGTGTGGATTCAATAGACGTATCTGAATTCATAAACGGGTTCTGATAAAACAATATAAATAATGAAAGTCTATATATTGTTAATTTTGAATTTTATGAGTTATTGTTAGTCAAAATATTGTCAAATTAATTAATCTCTAATAGAATCAACGACTCATTACATTGAGACTGGTGGAAAAGTGGTACTTACTCCGTGATGAAGATTTAGCCTCCTCCAAAGCCTGGTAACCGCTCTTCATATTTTCGTATTTAGTCAGCTCATCTGAACTGTAGAAAATATGAAACTCCGGCACTTCGATGTTATTTTCGATGAGTTTTTTGCTCAATGCATTCGCTGTGAGCTGCCATACACTCTCCGCAGTTGTAATAATGGCCACTCGTGTCCAGTTAAAATGTAACATTATTTGCAAAACAAAGTCAGCCGTTCTCGTCATTGGCGCAACAGTTCGCGCGAACGTTGGGTATTCTATTTTGTTCGACAGAGCACTGCTCGCGCAACCCCATGACACCATAGGTACGCCCCATTGCGATGCCAGTAGTCCACCTGGCTCGCATATAATACTGCAACCTGGTCCGATAAATGCATCCAAGTGATTTCCATCATACTTTACACTCCATAGATCCACTAACTGTGACAAACCCACACCGACATCACACTTGTCGTCACGCCAGGCAAGGCTGAGGTTGTGTCCGTTTGTATGTATAGCCGAGAACTGTGCGTCTGCATTTATAAAATCTATAGCAACTAATGCTGCACCCGCGGCATGTTTACCAACAGGCCAGAAGCCGTCCCATGGCAGAAGCAGCCCTAGGTGAAATTCTCTTGTTTCGATCTGTCTTAAATACTGGCATAACCAACAAATCCATATCAGAGCGGCGCACGCGTTGATGTTGACTATCGGCAGCTGCATGACTAAATGCCGACACTCACACGAGTCGATCTCAATAAGACTACATATACTGAGTTTGCGCAAAGCGGTTACTCGGCCAATGCTGTTTTAACGATACAGCGATACGGCGTGGTAAAACAATACAGTTGTGTTATCAGCGCGATGACGGCGCCAAGTGATAATTAAAATAGACAATACTGTGTTCTAATGGTGGGGGCATTATTTATCGTTGACATGTGTTACAATTTTTCTACAGGTGAACCAAATGTAACATTATTTCTCGGAGAGGCATCTTTGCATGTATTTGTGTCTCCTTCATGCATTTCATTCACATAATGTTTTGAGAAGAGGTGGTCCCCAAATAACACTGATGAGTGGCATTAGCGCCCGCAGTAATGAAGAATTATATATAATATTCATATCGATATATATTATAAATATACAAAAACCTAAATATATAAATACGTATTGACCATTGATAATTTAGAGAAAACCAGCCCATTCAAATTCCCCTAAAGCCTGTGATCATGCGGCGGCGCAATGAATAAACAGAATAAAATTATCTATATCTTAACCCAATTATCTTCACCGTAATCTTAGTTACAGATAAGAAAATCTTAGAACATTCTATTTATGTATAGGGGAGACCGTATATGATGTTTGCCACGTGTGAAGAGCGTTTTGTTGCATTGTATAAGTACATAATTACATAATGTATGTTTCAAGGTTGCGCAGTGAAAATACTGACAACGAAAGCATATTTTTCTAATGAATGGTATGCATAGAGGAGATAATTTCCGTTTGGTAATATGTAATATATAACACTAGTGTGAATGTTGAAGACCCGTTTTTCTAACTTCCATTTTCGCTGCTTTATTCAGTCAGCTATTATTCAGTACTGTACCAACGTACGGTGATAGTTTTCATTTATATATTATTTTGAAGTGGTTACGGTTATTTTAATATTACAATATATAAATATGAACTTAAAAATATTATATTATCAACCATGTCCATTGATGTTGAAATTAAAAATCAATATTCTTTATCCCCATTCTGTGAGAATTAAGTATATGTGACAGTATATTTTCGTTCGTTGATGTTGGTTGTTGTTCGTAAAGATTATATGTTATTTTGGGAATAAAATGATTGGTCTTCTATATCTGTAAATGTTTATTTATAAATATTGATTAGTAGGATGTGGTTGGTTGTGGTGAAGCAGCACATATGCTGAGATTGAATTACAAAAATAGGATATAGCAAACAGCTTGTAATGATATGCAGTTTTACCCGTCGTATATATATAGTCGCACATGAAATCGTGTGCAGAGAATTACATTGTGTATTGCTTCAAAACCATTGCATATAGCAATAAGGTAACACCGTGTGGAAGTCAAATATACCTATTACTATATCATCTCCCTGACAGTAATCTTACCGAAAATAACATTTAGGATTGGTTCATTAACTCCAAGCCGTGGTTACTGCAGTGTACTTTACTAATAAAACCATCTACTGTCACGTAGTAATAAACTTTATTTCCATGATCCTCTCTCCCGATAGCCCAGCACAAATCCAATTATATTTTTTATTTTTTGTATTTTCTTGATTCCAGTTGATGTGTTACATGATGATTTATATTTTTAGGAACACGGAATAGAGTGTTACATCATACCGTGATATACGGGACATGTCATCTTTATTTTAGAGCAGAACAACGTGTTTTACCGTATTATAGGCAGCATGGAAATATAAATAAAATAAGCAAGTTGAGATGTCAAGGAGAACAGTAAACGCCGTTATATAATTAGTTCCGGCAATAATGTGAGCTTTTCTGGTACCTGATGCGCGTGGCTAATTAATATAAATAGACATAATGTTAATTACCTCACTCAGTAATCCCAATAAGATGGAAATGATATGCTGTATTGTGTTATACCGTAGGTGTAAAGAAAGAATGGTGAGATTCGCATATTAAAAAAATTAAGTGTGCGTTTTTTATTACAAAATCTGTGAATAAAGTTTTTTTTCAGACAGGATGAGTGACGGACATTCCTCACACCATTCAATTCTAAAAGAATCAGTATAACGATTGACATCGTATTGATTATTAGACAAATCGATAATGTTAATATCGTGACCGGTTCTACTCTTTACATCTGATATGTATTGTGTTATATATGACACAGAATAATATATCAATAAAACACTACTATGATATTGGGGGGAGTCTGGTAACTGATATTCATGCATCGATGATAACTTAACAGACCATATGTTTGGTATGGAACACGGAAAGTAAGAAAGCCGTAAAAATAATTTCTTAGTAAACTTTTCAATATTGTGTTTAACAACATGATATTTTAACATCACACTTAAAGTAAATTGGGTAAATTAATGAATATATTTGTTCGTGCTTCCATCTTCCTCCATTACTATAGTCTTCCTGTGTTTAACCATCGTGTTCGCCGTGATTGGATTAACAAAAATAAGAAGGACGAATCACTAAATACTTCTGACATGTTTCTCGACACAATCATCAAACATATCACAACGTACTAACACACTAACACATCTCAAAGTGTCATCCCAGAATGCAACTGTAATAGTCATGCATTCCATTAACCTAATTTGCTTCAGGGCAAATGATAAAAAATACTACGTGCAAAATGGTGCAGAAATGTTATCATTGCTAGGTTATTAGATTAATAGTTGGTTCGCCATTAATCTTCACGATTTCAATAATATCCTGAATAGTACGATCGATTCAGCAGTGAGATTTACGCTAGCACGTGTATGTAAATATAACTTATCTTATTACAATTATGATGATTTAGTTGATAATACGACTTATGTGAATGGAACTGGATGGTGACTGATTCAACATCGAATGGTAGCATATTATTGAATTTAGTATTTCAAATTGTCAGTCTGTTTAGTGTCTGTCATTTTATAGATTATTCAAGGCAATGCAACAGCTGATAGGAACAGCCATAGCAACAATGACGTCAGCAGCTTCTCGGAAATATGAATTTAGAAAGAATTCTAGACATGAGTGACGACATCATTATCTGTTAGATATATCGCTTCAAAACACCTTTCCTATAACACGCGTCCTCCAGCGACGAAGTGCTTCTATGACGTGAGTGGATGAGAATGAATTTCTACACAATCAAGCGCAGTTTTCAATTCTAACGACAATACGTTACCATGTACTCGTCATTTCGACACTGAAGCTTTGTCTCTGGGTACGATTTATAGAAAAGATATTTTGAAGCGCTGTCAGGAAATGACGTCATCATTCACGTCTACAATTTTTACTAGGTGTATTGAGTCTGTATTTTATGAATTGTGTCTCTACATGATATATGAAATTAATAAAATCTAACTACAATCTAAAGTATATCAGAATAAATTGATATGGAGGATGTTTCATGAGTGCCCGACTTGTGTAGTAATTTTTAAGTTTACTAAATCTGATTATGCAGGATCACCAATTTGATATCGTATTTATCCTCAGCGGTAGCTAACATCTGAAACTATCGGCGATCTTTCTAAAGTTTAAAAACCCTTCAAATATAGTTACAGTTTGTAAATTGTAGTTTCATGTTAGATAAATTAAAATATCTCATGAGTGACCCTACAATATCAGAACTAGAAAATGACGCTGTTGTTGACGCTTTGAGTGATTGTCAGATTGACTTGGACATATCTGTCCATTTAGTTTATGTAAGTTATTGTTGCTTCAAAGTGCGCGTCTGCGTGCAGTAGAAAGGTCATAACTTCGAATCCTTTCTTGTTTATAATATTCTATTCCTTCTAAACAGTGGTCAGATCAGTACACGGTAATATTACACATAGATACGATGTTCTGCGTTATCGTTCAGTGATAAATCGTTGCTATTATAACTATTACTAGGCACATGTGGCTGTTACACATTAGTGTGCATTCCTTTAATATTTCTTGCGCTTGACAATTCCCTGCCGATTAGGTTAAGGATTTTGTTGTCTCACTTATTTGATGCCATGTACTGTCTCTCATCATCATTCATACGTATGTTAATTAATCGATATATGCTACAGGATACTTCATTTTCTGCAACTTCTTTTGAAGTGAAATGTAATCTATTCTGCATTCTCTGCTCAAAGGTTAATAACAATTTGTAATTTAGCCGTGGCAAGTAAAGTGAATGAAGTAAATGAAACCTGTAATAGGAGTGTTCTGAATATTACACTTGACCTTGGTCTACGACTCAAATGTGCTGTTGAATGCATATTGATTGTATTAACGCAAAGTGCATAATATGCATGCCGGGAGGGTTTTTGTAAATCGATACATTTGGCAAGGTTAAACTTACAACTATGTTTATGCGTAAGATAATACGAAGTGTGACTTCCATGGTCACGTCAAATACCAAACAATTTATAAGAGGTTTAATCAAGTTAGTGAATATGTCATTGATTAATTATAAACACATATGATGGTAACTTGAAGAACAGATTTTCTTATGAAAGCAGCCATTTTAACTAATATGAATACGATGATTTCCTAAAAAATGCCCATGGGGCAAAGATTCTCGTGCACGCTCGCATGCCGTCACAGAAACACAGTCACAACAACAGTGTGGAATGTATATGGTACTTATTAGCCACGCAAGATATAAAAACAATCCACATTTCAAACTCATGTTATGCCTTTGTGTATACGTCTTCGTAAAGCAAATCATTGTATTACGAGTATGCAAGCACAGCGTATATACACCCTTAGGTGATTTAATGAATGAATAGTTTATGTTTACTGTTAAATGTAAGATTTGTAATTTATGCAAAATCTAATTTAATTCTGTTTTCAATGAATTTATTGATTTGTTTTTGAAACTTTGTAACTTTTGTCCACTCAACTAAAATGACGAAAGTATATTGTTTGTTGGAAACACTATAATCATATTGTGTGAAGCGGTGAATATTTCGGGGACCGTGTCTCAACATTGTGGTAGTACTGAACCATTAGTTGTTACCCA